CTGCCAGGCCCCTAATCTGCCATGGGCCCCTATACCGCCTCCTCATGCTGCTGCTGCCAAGTCCAGAGTCTCTCATGGGTCCCTGTACGGCCCTCCCATTGCTGCTGTCTCCATCGCCACACTCTGCCATGTGCCACTTTCAGGTCTCCTCACACACTGCTGGTGTGTAAATTTTTTTTGACATAGGGTGCTGGCAGATTACGGGCCTCCCATAGCTGCTGCCAGGCCCCTAATCTGCCATAGGCCCCTATATACCGCCGCCTCCTCATGCTGCTGCCAGGTCCAGAGTCTCTCATGGGTCCCTGTACGGCCTCCTCCCATTGCTGCTGTCTCCATCGCCACACTCTGCCATGTGCCACTTTCAGGTCTCCTCACACACTGCTGGTGTGTAGAATTTTTTGACATAGGGTGCTGGCAGATTACGGGCCTCCCATAGCTGCTGCCAGGCCCCTAATCTGCCATGGGCCCCTATATACCCCTCCTCATGCTGCTGCCAGGTCCAGAGTCTCTCATGGGTCCCTGTACGGCCTCCCATTGCTGCTGTCTCCATCGCCACACTCTGCCATGTGCCACTTTCAGGTCTCCTCACACAGCTGCTGGTGTGTAGAATTTTTTGACATAGGGTGCTGGCAGATTACGGGCCTCCCATAGCTGCTGCCAGGCCCCTAATCTGCCATGGGCCCCTATATACCGCCTCCTCATGCTGCTGCCAGGTCCAGAGTCCACATGGGTCCCTGTACGGCCTCCCCCATTGCTGCTGTCTCCATCGCCACACTCTGCCATGTGCCACTTTCAGGTCTCCTCACACACTGCTGGTGTGTAGAATTTTTTTTGACATAGGGTGCTGGCAGATTACGGGCCTCCCATAGCTGCTGCCAGGCCCCTAATCTGCCATAGGCCCCTATATACCGCCTCCTCATGCTGCTGCCAGGTCCAGAGTCTCTCATGGGTCCCTGTACGGCCTCCCATTGCTGCTGTCTCCATCGCCACACTCTGCCATGTGCCACTTTCAGGTCTCCTCACACACTGCTGGTGTGTAGAATTTTTTGACATAGGGTGCTGGCAGATTACGGGCCTCCCATAGCTGCTGCCAGGCCCCTAATCTGCCATAGGCCCCTATATACCGCCTCCTCATGCTGCTGCCAGGTCCAGAGTCTCTCATGGGTCCCTGTACGGCCTCCCATTGCTGCTGTCTCCATCGCCACACTCTGCCATGTGCCACTTTCAGGTCTCCTCACACACTGCTGGTGTGTAGAATTTTTTGACATATAGGGTGCTGGCAGATTACGGGCCTCCCATAGCTGCTGCTGCCAGGCCCCTAATCTGCCATAGGCCCCTATATACCGCCTCCTCATGCTGCTGCTGCCAGGTCCAGAGTCCAGAGTCTCATGGGTCCCTGTACGGCCTCCCATTGCTGCTGTCTCCATCGCCACACTCTGCCATGTGCCACTTTCAGGTCTCCTCACACACTGCTGGTGTGTAGAATTTTTTGACATAGGGTGCTGGCAGATTACGGGCCTCCCATAGCTGCTGCCAGGCCCCTAATCTGCCATAGGGCCCCTATACCGCCTCCTCATGCTGCTGCTGCAGGTCCAGAGTCTCTCATGGGTCCCTGTACGGCCTCCCATTGCTGCTGTCTCCCATCGCCACACTCTGCCATGTGCCACTTTCAGGTCTCCTCACACTGCTGGTGTGTAGAATTTTTTTGACATAGGGTGCTGGCAGATTACGGGCCTCCCATAGCTGCTGCCAGGCCCCTAATCTGCCATAGGCCCCTATATACCGCCTCCTCATGCTGCTGCCAGGTCCAGAGTCTCTCATGGGTCCCTGTACGGCCTCCCATTGCTGCTGTCTCCATCGCCACACACACTCTGCCATGTGCCACTTTCAGGTCTCCTCACACACTGCTGGTGTGTGTGTAATTTTTTGACATAGGGTGCTGGCAGATTACGGGCCTCCCATAGCTGCTGCCAGGCCCCTAATCTGCCATGGGCCCCTATATACCGCCTCCTCATGCTGCTGCCAGCCAAGTCCAGGGTCTCTCATGGGTCCCTGTACGGCCTCCCATTGCTGCTGTCTCCATCGCCACACTCTGCCATGTGCCACTTTCAGGTCTCCTCACACACTGCTGCTGTGTGTGTAGAATTTTTGACATAGGGTGCTGGCAGATTACGGGCCTCCCATAGCTGCTGCCAGGCCCCTAATCTGCCATAGGCCCCTATATACCGCCTCCTCATGCTGCTGCCAGGTCCAGAGTCTCTCATGGGTCCCTGTACGGCCTCCCATTGCTGCTGTCTCCATCGCCACACTCTGCCATGTGCCACTTTCAGGTCTCCTCACACACTGCTGGTGTGTGTAGAATTTTTTGACATAGGGTGCTGGCAGATTACGGGCCTCCCATAGCTGCTGCCAGGCCCCTAATCTGCCATGGGCCCCTATATACCGCCTCCTCATGCTGCTGCCCAGGTCCAGAGTCTCTCATGGGTCCCTGTACGGCCTCCCATTGCTGCTGTCTCCATCGCCACACTCTGCCATGTGCCACTTTCAGGTCTCCTCACACTGCTGGTGTGTTAGAATTTTTTGACATAGGGTGCTGGCAGATTACGGGCCTCCTATAGCTGCTGCCAGGCCCCTAATCTGCCAGGCCCCTATATACCGCCTCCTCATGCTGCTGCCAGGTCCAGAGTCTCTCATGGGTCCCTGTACGGCCTCCCATTGCTGCTGTCTCCATCGCCACACTCTGCTCTGCCATGTGCCACTTTCAGGTCTCCTCACACTGCTGGTGTGTAGAATTTTTTGACATAGGGTGCTGGCAGATTACGGGCCTCCCATTGCTGCTGCCAGGCCAGGCCGTAATCTGCCATGGGCCCCCGTACCGACTCCTCATGCTGTGACGTTGTTGCAACAAGGTGGAATTCAACCCTACATATGTTAGACCGCCTTTACGAACAGCGAAAGGCCATCACAGATTTCCTGATGTTAAAAGCGGATAAAGGTACTCCCTGTGTAACTTAGATGTCAGCCATTGGCAGCTCATGCGTGACACCTGCGCTTGCTCAGGCCCTTTGAGGAGGCCACGCTATTCGTGAGTCGGCAGGACTATGGGATGAACGACGTCATTCCTCTGTTGCACGTCCTGGAACAAATGCTGTTAACAATGGCTGGTCATGTGCGGTAGACGTGGCGCACAGATCTCAACGCCACATGACCCCTGTGGGGGCAGGACAGGAAGAAGAGGAGGAGGGTGTAGAGGAGGACATTGGTGCTCAGGAATTATTGAGTGAAATGGGTGGTTTTTTCCACTCAGCGGACAGGAGTGGAGGAGCAGGAGCATCTGGTAGAGGAGGAGGAGGAGATTACAGAGGACCCAGACGCACCGTGGCAGTATGCTGTGGAGATGGAGGCAGGGAGTCCCTCGCATTCCTTGGCACAAATGGCCCATAGCATGCTCGGTTGCTTGCTTGCGTAGCGACAGCCGAATAATAACCATCAGACAGAGGGATGACTTTTGGCTGTCCACACTTGTTGGACCCTCGCTACCGTTCAAAAAATGGTGGCCTTTTTCACACCTGCTGAGAGGGAGGCCAAAATAACGTACTATAAAAACCACCTATGTAGTCAGCTGGTCTCGGTCTCTGCCTGTCTGCGCCAACGTCCATCCTCAGACACTGTGGGCCCTGTGCGCTCGCGTTCCGCTGCCATGGCACAGGGGAGGGGTGGGGTGGTAGGAGCAGTGGCAGCTCCACCAGCAGCGGCTGCCTCAGTCTGCAGTCGATGATGAGTAGCTTTCTTCACCAGCGCAGTGAGGAAACTACTAACCAGCCGCAGCAGCAGCAGCAGCAGCAGCAGCAGCAGCAGCAGCATCAGGTGGACCTGGAGCAGGACCTCAAACAACAGGCTTAGGCCTACTTGGACAGCACCCTGCCAACCGAGGTAGACAATCCCCTTGACTACTGGGCAACGAAACTTGACCTTTGGCCCCAACTAGCTGAATTTGCCCTTGAAAGGCTGTCATGCCCGTGCCAGTAGCGTGGCATCGGAGCGCGTGTTTAGTGCGGCAGGAGGTATTGCAACTCCGCGGAGGACACGACTGTCCCCCAAAGTGTGGAGAGACTGACGTTTGTGAAAATGAATCAGGCGTGGATTAGTCTGGATTTCAAACCACCAGTTCCTGACACAACTGACTAAATCCGCCATGAATCATGCCCCAAACATGTGCCACTTTCAGGTCTCCTCACACTGCTGGTGTGTTCCATTTTTTGTCATAGGGTGCTGGCAGATTACGGGCCTCCCATAGCTGCTGCCAGGCCCCTAATCTGCCATGGGCCCCTATACCGCCTCCTCATGCTGCTGCCAAGTCCAGAGTCTCTCATGGGTCCCTGTACGGCCTCCCATTGCTGCTGTCTCCATCGCCACACTCTGCCATGTGCCACTTTCAGGTCTCCTCACACACTGCTGGTGTATTCCATTTTTTGTCATAGGGTGCTGGCAGATTACGGGCCTCCCATAGCTGCTGCCAGGCCCCTAATCTGCATGGGCCCCTATACCCGCCTCCTCATGCTGCTGCTGCCAGGTCCAGAGTCTCTCATGGGTCCCTGTACGGCCTCCCATTGCTGCTGTCTCCATCGCCACACTCTGCCATGTGCCACTTTCAGGTCTCCTCACACTGCTGGTGGGTTCCATTTTTTTTGTCATAGGGTGCTGGCAGATTACGGGCCTCCATAGCTGCTGCCAGGCCCCTAATCTGCCATGGGCCCCCGTACCGACTCCTCATGCTGCTGCCAGGCCCGTAATCTGTCATGGGCCCCTGTTGTCGCTTGTTGGCATATTCCGCTCGTTCAGATGCTCCTTCTCTCTCTGCTACTCCTCTTCACGGATTCCGTCAGCAGTCTTTCTTGGAATCCGTTTCCAAGAGACAACAGTTTGCGAGCACGCACCAGACGGTGCAGAAACTGAACGTCCTCCTGTCCAAGTTGCTGCTGCCAGGCTCGTAATCTGTCATGCGCCCCTGTACCGCCTCCTCATGCTGCTGCCAGGTCCAGAGTGTGTCATGGGCCCCCGTACCGACTCCAAATGCTGGAGGCCCGTAATCTGCCATGGGCCCCCGTACCGACTCCTCATTGCTGCTGCCAGGCCCGTAATCTGCCATGGGCCCCTGTACAACCGCCCTCCTCATGCTGCTGCCCAGGTCCAGAGTGTGTCATGGGTCCCTGTACGGCCCTCCCATTGCTGCTGTCTCTATCGCCACACTCTGCCATGTGCCACTTTCAGGTCTCCTCACACTGCTGGTGGTTTCCATTTTTGTCATAGGGTGCTGTATGGCCTCCCATTGCTGCTTGCTGCCTCCACCGCCACACTGTGGCTCCACACTCTGGTTTTGGCCCCGTGGACTGCCCAAATGAGTGAAGTGTGCTCTCTCTGAAGCCTAGAAACACCCATTTTTTAAGTTAAATTCACAGCGAATATATTCGACCTCGAATTCGAAAATTTTTCCACGAATTCGCCGAATCAGTCGAATCGAATTTTTTGAATACTTCGCTCATCTCTATTTATAATATGAGAACTTTGTGTAGTTGTGTTGATGTGTACGAATCGTTTGGAGTGACTTGTAGGGGTTGGTAATCATCAGGATGATAAATCGTCCGCAAAACAGGCTAATTTTGTGTTCTTTTTTGAGGTGTGTAATACCTGGAAATGTTGGGTTCATCTCTGAGCTTGGATAATAGGGGTTCGATGAGTAAAGTAAAGATTATGGGAGACATGGGGCTGCCTTTAACTAGCCGTTGTCTAGTGCTCATTGGATAAATGGAAGGTTTGGGAGAGGGTACCGTTAGTTAGTACTCTAGCTGAAGGGTTGGAGTAAAGGGATAGAATTGCCGATAGCAATCCAGTCTGTGATACCAAATTTTTGAAGTGTGCTTAGTGAGTTTCATGAATTGCCAATGTTTGCGGTCGAATGCTTTTTCAGCATCCAGGGATTAGGAGTAAGGAAGGTTTTCTGGAGCTCTCAAGGTTATGTAAAAGGGATATAAGTCGTCTTGGTTGCATCTGTAGCTTGTCAACCAGGGATAAATCCCAACTTGGTCTGGGGCTGAATTAACGTAGGGAGGTGAGGAAGTAATCTCTGGACAATTATTTTAGCGTATGGTTTGATTTCTGTGTTCAATAGCGAAATTGGTCTGTAATTTTGGACCATTTGAGGGTTTTTACCGGGGTGTTTGGGGATGGTTGTAATTATACTTAGATTGTAGCATGTATGTGGGGAATTGTCCTGTGGAGGCTGCTTGGTTGAAGAGAACAGATAGGTGTGTGGTGCAAGATTAGAGGCGAATATTTTTTAGTATTTCGTTCGTAAATCCATTGTTTCCCAGAGATTTATTTAGAGGTAAAGATTTTATGTTTTTTTCTATTTCTGTGGGAGATATCGATGCAGATATAGATTCAAGTTGTGTAGGGGTGAGTTGGGGGAGATTAGCGGTTGCTAGGAAGTTAAGGATGGATGTGGTCGTCGGTTGTGGGTTGGTTCTGGATCATCTTTAATATTATATAGGGATTGGTAATAGTTCGCAAAAAGTGTTGGCTATGTCTTGTGGATTTGTGAGCGAGATGCGAGTGGTGGGGTGTTGAATTAGGGTGATCTTGGATTTGAGCTGTCTTTGTTTAATTATTTTTATGAGGAGTGAGTTTTGCTTTGTTACTAGGGAATAGAATTGTGATTTTGTCTTTTGAAGGTTAATGGTCATATTTGTAGAGTAATAGTAGTCGGAGTTCGTTCCTGAGTCTGTTGTTAGGGATTTAGAAGTAGAAGCACTTGGGTTTTTTTTGTTAATTTCTATATTTGTATTTTTTATGGAGTTTAGGAGTTGGTCAATTTGTTGGGATTGTTGTTTGATTTGGGAATTTAGTTGTATAAGGATACCTCTCATGTAAGCAGGCCATAAGTGTGTTATAGAAATGTCCCGCTGTGTCGTTACAATCAAAAAGAGATTGTGGGCTTCTAGTAGGTGTTTTTGGTTTTCTGGTTCTTTTAGAATTGTAGAGTTCAGTCTCCAGATGGGAGGGATTGTAGAGCGTTTGATTGTTTGTCCAAGATTTATGTTGATTGGAGCATTAAGTCTGACCAGGTTATGGTTCCGGATTTTAGATGACAGTACATGTTGTAGTGTCCATTTATTCTGTGATGAAAAAGTCAATCCTGGAATAGGACAGTTGAGAAGGGGAGAAGTAGGTGTAGTCTTTCTCGTCACTGTGTTGACATCTCCAGATATCGTAAAGGTTATTGTCGATGAGGAAAACGGTTGAAGTTTTGTTTGTGAGATCTTTTGCTCGAAGACGAGTCTAGAAGAGGGTTGCCAATTTACGTTGAAGTCTCCAACCCAA